CGGGTCTCACGGGGCTCCCCGGCGTTACCCGAGGCAGGCAGCGGGGCCGCTCCTGCCGCTGGCGTTCGCGGGCCGAGCGCGGGGCCGGGGCCGCTGCCCGAGGACGGTTCCGAGACCCGGCGGTACCGCCGCCGCCGCTTTCCCGCTCGCTCGAGAGCCGCCTCAGGGCGCCCCGCCCGCAGCCAATCAGCGCCCGCCAGGGCACGCTCCCGCCCAATCACCGAGCGCTCCGTCCCTCGGTGGGCGGGCCGAGAGCGGCCTCTCTGCCAATGACAGCGAGGGGTGGTGGGCGGGCACTGCAAGACTACCAATGGGAGTGCGGCGCCGGAGTGCGAGCTGGGCAGTCGACCAATGAGAGCGCAGAGAGGAGGGACGGCGTTGCGATTCAGCCAATGGGAGCGCGGAGCGTCGGGCGGTGGCGGAGGCGGGCGGGCCGGGGCCGCCAAGATGGCGTACCAGACGTTCCGGCAGGAGTACCTGCAGGTGCCGCCCGTGACCCGGGCCTACACCACCGCCTGCGTCCTCACCACCGCCGCCGTGGTCAGTGGCGGCCCGGGAGGGAGGGAGGCCGGACGGGAGCTGGGAGCGGGGCGGGCGCGCGGCGGCCGCGGAAGGGGAGCCCTCGGGCACCGCCGGGGCTGGAGCCCCGAGACCCCTGGGCGAGGGGAATCCCGGAACAGGCCCCGCGGAGGAGCAAAGCACGAATTAACAACAACAGCCCAGAGGGTTGTTGTATTGAGGCTCCCGCTTGCCAGAAAACTCACAGTGCTGGTGTGACTTGCTGGGCTCTTTTTGGCACACAGGAATGGGTTGCTGTTGTGGGTGTGTATTTTTTCTTCTTCCTAATATTCGCACGTTTCTCGTATTGATCCTTTCAAAATGTTTTCTTCTTTTTCAGCAATTAGAACTTATCACGCCCTTCCAGCTGTATTTCAACCCTGAGTTAATATTTAAGCACTTTCAAGTAAGTGTGTTCTGAAGCACTGGAGATTTTAGAATGTGCTGCAGACTTTAAGTGTTTGTCTTCTCAAAACAGTGTACTTTTTGTGTTAAAAATACACTTTTTAAAAATACACTTTTTACACAGCTACTGGAGGCAGAGTGCAGACCACTATGCCTTAAAATAGGCATAGTTTCATTTTCTGTAAAGGAGATTTTGGTTTCGTTGTTACTTATCTACTTAGACAATAAAAATAAGCTGTCATGTTTAAAGTCCTTGTATTTGTCTTATTTCCAGATATGGAGGTTAATCACAAACTACTTGTTCTTTGGACCAGTTGGCTTTAATTTTTTATTTAACATGATCTTTTTGTATCCTTCACCAAGTTGTGTTGGTTCCCTTGGCAAGCAGAGCTCCAGAGGGCAGGAATGGTGCTGTACCTGCACACAGGAGAGGCTGAGTTCCTGGGAATTCAGCAGTGCCAACTTCACTGCTGTCATGAATGGGCTTCAAGGGCTGGGGTCTCCTTTTTAAGTGGTCAAGAGTTTTGCCAGTTAATTTTTTGGTGTTAAAAATTTGTACCAGCCTGATCCTTCGGGTTGGTGTTGCAGGAGAAAATTCCAGGTAACATTTTGTCTCCTGGGTCACCCTCTGTGCTGAAGTATCCAGCAAGAGCCGAGTGATGCAGCAAATTGACAAAACACTTTTGATCTGATGTAGAATTGAATAATTTTCTGCTTGGATGTGTCTCTAAACTCGCTTGCAATGGAGTTTTCCTGACCTTGGCCTCAGATACCGCTACTGCCGCATGCTCGAGGAAGGCTCTTTCCGGGGTCGCACGGCAGATTTTGTATTTATGTTCCTTTTTGGAGGACTTTTAATGACTGTATCCTTTCTGTTTTAACTCCAAGCTCCTTTAGTAAACATGCAGAAGTGTGAAGGAGAGCTGAAACCGTGTTGTTTCTGTTACCTTGATGTAGTTTGTTGCACAAGGAGTACCGATATTTGTTAAGGTGGTTTTGAATGCTTTGGGATTGTTGCTGATTTTTTAGGTTTTTTTCTGCTTGATTGTGGAAATGAGGTTATCAGGGGTCTGTTCAGGGGTGAGATCATGCTCAGGTTGTCTGTGAAGAATTAAATTCTGCTTTAATGAGATTATTCATGCTGCAGGTGCCCCGAATCCTGCCGCAGCTGTTGGATTGATGGACAGTAGTTTGACGTACTCACACCTGGGAAAGTGGAGTTCCCAGCTGTGTGGAAAACACGGGATTACAAATTAAGCTGTGAAATTCCTGACCTCACAAGAGTTTCCTTAACGAGCCATGGCAGCTTTTTGGGCTGTTTGTGAACCTGGTGTTCCTGGGGCAGGCGTTCACCATCATGCTGGTGTACGTCTGGAGCCGCAGGAACCCCTACGTCCGCATGAACTTCTTCGGGCTCCTCATCTTCCAAGCCCCGTTTCTGCCCTGGGTATTGATGGGCTTTTCTCTGCTTTTGGGGAACTCCATCATTGTGGATCTCCTGGGTGAGCAATGGCAACAATCTCATGAGGTTCTGTTCCTCCTCGTGTTTTACGTGAAAGAGAAAATGGGAACAAATCCAAGGGCTAACTAGTGCTTGGTGTTAGTTCTTCTGATTGATTTATTATTTTATATTTATATTTTTAGGCTTTTCTGATTTCTAGCCATTTTAGCATGTTTTGTGCTGTGATAAGGATGGAAAGAGCTTTTGATGTTTTGGCTTTTTATTGCTTGGAATCAGCCCTGATGTACCATCTGACTGTAGCATCAGTCTACTGAACTAAAATACTTTATATTACTATTTTATTCAACTGTAATAGAGCCAAATCATCAGTATTTTCACTAATGACAAGATGTTTTCCCAATATTAATATCCTGTAGTATAAATTAAGCTTTTTACTTGCTGTTAGCTTTCTTCCTTGGGTTTTGTGTTTCTATATCATCAGATTTTCTGTGAAGGAACCAATGTATGTTGTTTTTCTGAAAACTCTAGTGTAAAGCATTTGGGAGTTGTAAAGGAGAACTACTGAAAAATCACCTTTTGGTTTTCTTTCTATACCAGGCATTGCTGTTGGGCATATATATTTTTTCTTAGAGGATGTCTTTCCCAATCAGCCTGGTGGTGGGAGGCTCCTGAGAACACCGTCTGTCCTGTGAGTATTGGTGTCTGCTTTGGAAAAGATATGGAAAAATTGCTTGTTTGGAAAACTGTTTGCAATTCAGTCACATCATTTGAGCAGAGACAGAATTGGGGGGTGCCTCTTCTTGCTTTTTATTGAACTCGTGTTCAAACAAGGAGCTGGAATTTGTTGAAATGGGAACCAACTTAATTGGGAGAAGAGCTAAAGGATTTTACATTTGGTTTCTCTGGTAATGCTTGTCAGGCTTTGTTGACAGCATCAAAACTGTGTCCCCTGCTGAGTGTGAACAGTGGCTGAGGTATTACATATATGTAATGGTTTTTTTCTTCTTTAAGTCATCCTCACGTCACAATTTTGGGGAAAAAATATCCTTCAGTGTTTATAGTATTGAGTTGTGGTGCTCCCACTCAGTTCCCTCTTGTGTGGATGCTCTAATCCCCTGTGGTGCTCTCCCAGAACACCTCTGATGGTTGTTTTCCACACAATCATAAGACTACCCTGAAGATGTCTGGCATAGAATATTTATACATAAATATCAGAGGATGAACCTCGTCAGTCTTGATTTGGGATCTCCTTCCTGGTGGCTCCAAATTGGAGAGCATGAATCCCATTGCCTGCGCAAGCTGTTCTTGCGGGAGGACACTGTGCAGCGTGTGAGCTGTCTTGATCTTGTTTTTCACAGACTCATAAGACTGTCTTGAAGATGTCTGGCATAGAATATTTATACATAAATAGGAGAAGCATAACTTCATCAGTCTTGATTTGAGGTTGTCTTCCTGGTGGCTCCAAAGTGGAGAACATGAATCCCACTGCCTGGGCAAGCTGTTCTTGAGGGAGGACACTGTTCCACGTGCAGCATGTGAAAGCTGTGTGTGGAGGATAACCATGCTTTGTGTTTTGCAGGAAAGCAATCTTTGACACGCCAGAGGATGACCCCAACTACAACCCCTTGCCAGAGGAGCGGCCGGGGGGCTTTGCCTGGGGAGAGGGGCAGCGCCTGGGGGGATAATCAGGGCCTGGGCCTGTCCCAGCTCCCCTGGGAGAGACTGGCCTGGCTCCAGCCCCAGGGGACTCTCCTTCCCAGCACAGAGAGGACTCTGACAGCTCTAGGGTTTGGAACACAAGCACTTTATGAAATGGCAGTCTCACCCGAGGCACTCCCAGCACCCTTCCCAAGCAGGGAACTCGTGCTGGACATCATCTAAATCCAGTGGAGCCAAAAATTTAAAACTGGAAACTGTTTCCTGTTAACTTCAGTTAACAAGGCCACACAAGTACTTGTTTAAAGTGATTTCTAAAGCATTTTTTTTCAAGTTATTTGATACATGAAACTCTATGGGAAACTTTACAGGGGACAAACCCGACTTTTTGGGATTTAACTCAATTTTTTTTATTCTTGGATAAAACAACTGCAAGATGATTGAAAGGCTATGTCACTATTTCAATGGCAAAAGGTTGTTTAATCTGAGGTGCTGCTGTCTCCAGTCATCTTTGAACTGCAGGGAACACAACATGCAGCTTTTCACTCTGCCACTTGGGTTTTTGGAATGTTCTGCAGGCTGAGGCTACATTTTGGTGGTTTTTTCCCCCAAGGACTGTGTGTTCAGGTGCCCAGTTTTCACACTGGTGGTTAAATAGGTCTGCCTGCAGAATCCACCCCCGTGTGCCCTCTGCTGTTACTGGATGACCTGCAGCACTAGAGAAGGAAACTTGTCTGGAGTGAGGACTCAAAAATGATGAGTTGAATAAAATGTCTTGTGGATCCTTTTTGGTTAATCCTCTGTATCATCCTGTAGTCTTGAGGCAGCAGGGGCTGGAAAAAGCAAGTCCTTGAAGAGACAGAGAACCTGCAGCTTTTCCCACAAGTGTCTCAGAAGTGCAGGATGCAGCATTGTCTGCTCAGGATGTGAAATCCGTGTCTGTGGATGCAGTTTGTTGTTTCCAGCACAGGCCAGTGAGACTGAGTGGCGTTTAGCTTAAAGCCACATTGGTTATAAATATCTCTGAGCAGCCACATAGGAATTTGGAGCTCAGTTCAGCTCATGGTGGTCAGTTGTTCTTAAATCGCCATAGAAGGTGTTGGGTGGGGTTTTATTGATTATATCATAATAAATAAAAGGAGTTAGAGCTGCATCTTCATTCTGCATTTTAGAGGATGGGCTTGCCCATGACATGTCATTATCTCATTTAGTCTCAGATTTTGTTTTTAAAAACTTGCTACAGGTTTTAGGTTTTTTAAATTTATACTCCAGGAGAGAAATGTGTGGGGATCTCAGGGGAAATGCTTGGTCCACAGGCAGTGTGTTAGATTCTGATAAAATGTGTGAGGTAATGTGTGTCTACATTTTTATCTGTTAAAGGTTATAAAAACTTGCGGGAGCTTTGAGGGGTTTTACAGGTTTTTGGTCTGTTTTTGAGGCAGTTTTGATTGTTTCTAGAACAGTCTTCTAGTGCTTCTGGAGAGCAAGAATGGATTTTTGTGTGTCCTTTTTAGTTCAGTGTTTGAGAACCCCTCCGTAGCTTGTTACTGGCACAAGTCCTGAGTGGGAGCATGTCCCTGCGCTGCCCGCAGCCGGCTCTCTGCCCTCCTTGGCTGCGTTTTGCTGCCCTTTGGGGCTCCCGATTTTTCCCAGTCTCCCCGGCCCCGAGGGGCGCCCGGAGCCGGCAGCGCTGCAAATGGCGGCGGCATCCGCGGGACTACAACTCCCAGGATGCTTCGCGCAGCGTCGCGGGTTGGCGTCATCGCTGCGCCAGGGAGCCCGTGCGGCGCGGCCGGAGCCCGGGACAGCCCCGGCGGGACGGAGCGGGCCAGGACCGCGAGGGGCGATGGCTCAGGACAGAGAGGGGCCTCCGGCCAAGCGGTTCAAGGCGGCGTCCCCCGGCACGCAGCCCCAGAGCGCCGCGCCGCCCGCACACGTGCAGCGCCGCTGCCTGCCCATCTCCGGAGCCCGCGGGCCGCTGCTGGCCCGGCTGCGCCGCCTCGACACCGCCGTCCTCATCGGTGAGTGCCGGGACAAGGGCCGCTGTCCCACGGAGCGGGCTGGGCTGGGAAAGCTGCCCGGAAACGGTTTGGGTGTAAGTCTGAAGTGTGGTGAGCAGGGAGTGACTTCTGTGCTTTGGCAGTCGGGACTTGGTTTTTGTGGAGAAGGCGAAAGTATTTCCCTCTCCTTTCGCTGTCTGCCTGGAGTTCAGTCAAAGCCACACGGCCAAGCTCTCCTCTTCTGAAGACTCTCCTCACTTTTTAAGGGGTTTTCACTGATTTTGTTATGCTTTCTGTGAGTGCAAACGAAAAAGCTTTTTGTTAGACTTCCAGGAGCTGCAGATATACAACTTCCCACCTGGTACTCTAAAGGTTCAGCATTTATTGTAACTAAGTGAAAAATGCTTTGTATGTCTCTCCTGTTAGTGTCACACACAGACACTTCACGTGCAGAAAGGCTGGAGTAGGTTTCTGAACCAGAGTGTGGCTGGAGCTCTGCAGAGCAAGAGGAGGGCGTTGGGTGCCATCTCTGACCTGCCTTGTGGTGGGACTTTCCCTCTCTGTCTTCGGCTTCCCCGTCCTCAAACAGGGCTAAAAGTTAACATGAAAAACCGAGTTTGACAACGCTATAAAAGTGTGGTGGGAAACTCTATTCCCTTGATATTCCTTAGGAGAAACAGGCTCGGGGAAGACCACCCAGCTCCCTCAGTACCTGTACGAGGTGGGGATCGGCCACCCCGGTGTCATCGCTGTGACCCAGCCCCGCAGGGTGGCAGCTGTCACCCTGGCTGCCAGAGTTGCTGAGGAGAAGAGGACAGAGCTGGGGAAGCTGGTAGGTTATCTGCACATTGATTTTGGTTTGGGGCTGCTCTGGGGATGGGGCCCTGTCAGGCTGCAATGGGTAGGATAATAACCAGCCACAGGGGGAATAATCTTAATTTCATAATTAGTTTTGGGTGCCACAATGTAACAAGGATGTAAAAGCTGTCAGGGAGTGCTCAAAGGAGCAGCATGAAGATGGTGAGGGGTCAGGAGGGGCCACATAATAGGAATGGCTGAGAGCACTTGGTCTGTTCAGCTGGAGAGGTGGAGAATTTGCTCAAACCTCACCAAGGTCTGCAGCTTCCTCCTGAGGGACAGCTCCAATTTCTGCTCTGTGGCCAGGGACAGGACCTGAGGGAACAGCTGGAGCTGTGTCTGGGGAGGTCTTGGTTAGATATCAGGGAAAGATATTTCCCCTGGAGGGTGCTGGCACTGCCCAGGCTCCCCAGGGAATGGGCACAGCCCTGAGGATGCCAGAGCTCCAGGAGAGTTTGGAATGCCCAGGGAGGGATTGTTGGGCTGTCTGTGCACGGCCAGGGGCTGGACTGGATGATCCATGTGTTCCTTCCAGTTCAGGATATTCTCTGATTTTGTAATTAAATGAATGGACAAAAATTGCTCTTTACCTGTCCCACGACAGGGTGGGCATGGCCTGTCCCTGTGGCATTATACCTCTTGAGCTGGGTTGTTCCATTTGCAAAAATACCGATTCATTAATAAAAGAAAAAAAATACTGTGCTCTCTTCCATTGCTCCCTGTGTCAGAAATCACTGTCAGGGAGAGCAGAGAGCTGAATTAGTGCAGGTCTGGGGGAGAAAGGCAGAGGAGAAAGACTTCTGCATAAAATCCTTGGAGAGCCTGGAATCATTTCGAGGACGGGAGGGAGGGAAGGAAGGAAGATGAACTTAGGGCGGCATTTATGATGAACTTCTAGTTAGGAAGAAGCCAACTAGAGATGTTGGGAGTATCATTTGTGTGCCTTGCTACATTTGGAAGAGGAACTGCTCACAGATAGCAGATAAACTGCTCTGCTTTCCAGAGCTTCCATGAGCTTCTGGTTGGCTCTGTCCAGTGCAGTGACCAGGGGCTTTGTAGCCCTTCCTGGTGGCACGATGGCAGTGGAAATGCCAGTCTGTGTGCCCGTGCTGCCTCCCCCAGGTTGGCTCAGTGGGAAATGCCAGTCTGTGTGCCCGTGCTGCCTCCCCCAGGTTGGCTCAGTGGGAAATGCCAGTCTGTGTGCCCGTGCTGCCTCCCCCAGGTTGGCTACACCGTGCGCTTCGATGACTGCTCGTGTGCCGAGACCAGGATGCGGTTCCTGACGGACGGGATGCTGCTGCGCGAGGCCATCGGGGACCCCCTGCTGCACAAGTACAGCGTGGTTATCCTGGACGAGGCCCACGAGAGGACCATCCACACTGATGTGCTCTTTGGAGTGGTCAAAGCTGCTCAAAAGAAGCGAAAGGAACGAGGCCTGCGGCCACTAAAAGTGTGTTCATCCAGGATGGCAGTGAAGGGTGGGGTGGGGCTGGGCTCTGAGTGCTGTGGGCATCTCCTGGGGCCTTCCAAAGGGTTTGGAATATCAGCTTTGACCATTTTTTTGTTCCTAAAAAGTCACTTTAAATCTCAGTAGTTAAGGGTGTCTGACTTATGATGTGTGGGCCTGATATGACACCTCTGACCAAGGTATCTGATACCACCATGATCCCTTTTTTCCACAAAAGCCCCTTGGGTATGACCTTTGGACTAGACACAGTGCTGAGATCACTTCAGGTGCAGGAGCTCTGGCTGATGGAACATGATAATTCCCAAGTAGGGCACTGCACATGGGATGGGTGGAGATGTCAGGAATTGGTGTGAAAGCACGTTGGCTTTGCTTGAGGGGCCTGGCAGGGGCCTTGCATGGTCTCATTCCACACACCAGCCCATTCTGTCACACCAGTGTTTTCTGCTTGTGGTAAAAAGCTGATTTCCCCTTTAACGAGGGGAAATCACTCTCTTCTGTCCCAAAGCCTATGAGCTGTTCTGAGCATGGTTCTCAGGACCCAGAAGCTGACTTTTGGCTGGTTGGTGTCCAGCTGGGTGGAAGCTGCAGTGCTGACCCGTGCTGTGCTCCCCCTGAAGGTGATTGTCATGTCAGCCACGATGGATGTTGACCTGTTCTCCCAGTACTTCAATGGAGCTCCTGTCATCTATCTGGAGGGCCGGCAGCATCCCATTGACATCTTCTACACCAAGGAGAGGCAGAGTGACTACCTGCAGGCAGCACTGGTGTCCATCTTCCAAATCCACCAGGTATGAGGGTCTCTCCAGGTTTGTGTCCCTCTGGGGCCAGGGGTTGGTGTTTTGTGCAGGCTAGACACCTGGATTGTGTTGTTTCATTAAACATTGAATTTACTGCTTTGAAGTTGCTGCTGCTGTTGGGATTTGGGACCTGTATGTCCAGGCTGGAGGTGAGGGGAGACTGCCAAGCAAAGCTGTATAATGTCAACTCGTGCCTAAAACCTGAATGTTCTCCTCACCTGAGTTCTCTGTACCTGGGTGCTTGCTGGCTCTCTCTGCCTGACCTGGAGTTATTTGAGGACACAGCAATTCTTCCGTCCTTTTAACACTCAATCCCTCAAAATGTGATTTACTCTTTGACTCTGGTGAACCCATTGGGAATTCTGGCTGTTGCATCCTTGCACCACATGTGTGTCTTCTCTTTCTTCTTAGCCTGCTTCAGTGACTTGCTGCCAGAGCCACATCTCATTACCAATCTCAGTTCTCCTTTTCTATCCAAACCCTCCTAACTTATTTTTCCTCTGCCTCTAGGAAGCTCCTGCGTGCCAGGACATCCTGGTGTTCCTGACTGGTCAGGAAGAAATTGAAGCAATGACCAAAACCTGTCGAGATGTTGCCCAGCATCTCCCCGAGGGCTGCCCACGGATGACAGTGCTGCCCCTTTATGCTTCTCTGCCCCACTCCCAACAACTCCGTGCCTTCAAACCTACCCCTGAGGTGAGGGAATGGGAGGGGTTTTACTTCAAAGAGTCTTTGGGTGAAACATGTGGGCTTTAAGGGGCTGAAGCGGTGTGTACTGATAGGAATCAATAGTCTCTGTTGGCTCAGGCTGAGTGGTTCCAGAGATATAATACACTGCAAATGTGATGGTTTTAACAGATGCATTCAGTAAGTCACATGGGATCATAAAAAGAAGGAAGGGTTAGAAGGCACAGGAATTTAAATTTCTTCCATTTCATAGGAATTTTTTCTCCATGTTACAAAAAAGCTACAACAGCTAATGGTGGAAATACTGAGTAAGCTGAAAACTTGAGAATGTTTGTCAGGGCCATAAGGAAAAGAATTCATGCTGCCTCAGGCTCTTTTTTACCTACTCAAGAGATAAATAAGAACACAAATGTTGTGCCTGAAGTGAAACCAAAATTGTTGAAAGATGTATTGAGAACAGCTGTTCTGGTGGTGTATTTTGTTGCAAATGCAGAAGAATGTTTTAGATACTGATTAGGAACTGAAGATTGCCTTAGTTTCTGAGAGCTGGCACAGCAAGCACAGTTTGTGCTCACAGTGTGGGGCAGGGCTTGGCCCACACTGGCCAAAAGCAGCAGAATTTCTGTGTTGCAGCTGCTCTGAGGTGGCCTTGGCCTGGGTTTGATTTTGCTTCCTCGCAGGGCTGTCGCAAAGTGATCCTCTCCACCAACATTGCAGAAACCTCCATCACTATTGCTGGCATAAAATTCGTTGTGGACACAGGCATGGTCAAAGCCAAGAAGTACAGCCCTGGTGAGGAATTCTGAAGAGGAACAGGGCCAAGATTGGGTTTGGGTTTGTAGAAGTTGCTGGAGGCCGTAAGCCCCACTGAAAGAGGATTTCAAACACCCTCCGTGCTGTTTAAATTAATGTCCCAGGTTTGGGGTGTGGGGTTTGGTGGTGTTTTTGTGGGTTGTTTTGAGTAACAGCCATGAGGTGGTAAAAATCTGTCAAATGTGAATCTTCTCTTCATGTACACAGCATGGGATAGTTCACTGTGCTTCGCAGTGCTGAGCCAAGTGAGCTCTGAGCCAGATTTGAATGGCAAACCCTGGGAATTCTTACTGCTAATCCTCTGTATTTTCTCAAGCTGTGCCTTCCTCAGGCACTGACTGAGTGATGCTTTTCCATGCCCAGAAACTGGCCTGGAGGTGCTGGCAGTGCAGCAGGTGTCCAAGGCCCAGGCTTGGCAGCGCACGGGCAGAGCAGGCAGACAGGAGAGCGGGATCTGCTACCGGCTCTACACCGAGGAGGACTTCGAGAGGTTTGAGGAAATGACAACACCTGAGATACAGAGGTGAGGACAGAGCCATCACCTCTTTTACAGCTGGAGCTGTGGGAAGAACTGAGCAGCAAAACTGGGTCTTGGGGCTGGCAGGGTGACTTGAGAAAAATGAGAGTGTGGGGACTAAATAGAAAAACTGGGAAATGTTTCCTCAGGGTGGACAGTTGGGCACTGAGTCTCCAAACATATAAAGCAATAGTTCTGACTGTCCTCCAGGTTATGGACTTGCCTCTTCCTGATTTAGGAAGTAAGGCTTCACCAGCAGCATCAGACTTCTGTGTGTCAAGCTGCAGCACTGCCTGAGACTCTTAGCTTCTATGAAAAAAGAACAAAATAAAAGAAGATCTCAGTTGTTTTTTCTGCCTATGCAGGTGTAACCTGGCCAGTGTGGTGCTTCAGCTCCTGGCCCTAAAAATTCCCAATGTGCTCACATTTGACTTCATGTCCAAACCATCTCCTGGTAAGTGGCTACAAAGGCAGCCTTGGGGAAAAAGAGCAGGGAGCAGTCTTGGGCCATAGGGTGTCACAACAACACAACATGAAGGTGTGCCCTGACTGCTAAGGGAAGCTGGAGTAAATGGGGAAAGGTGTTTGTTCTCCTGGATAGAGGAGGATAAACCACATTTTGGGACCCTGATTTCTGTAAATGGAAAGTACTTGTCCCTCTGGCCAGGGGAGGGAGGCAGTGATGGAACCAGCTGATCTTCACATCCCTCAGTGGGAGGCAGGAGGCCTCACAGTGTCCTCAATGTCCTTGTTTTGGCAGATGCTATCCAAGCAGCAATTGATCAGCTGGACCTGCTGGGAGCTGTGACCCAAAAGGAAGGTCAGCTTGTCCTGACCCCCCTGGGAAAGAAAATGGCAGCCTTTCCACTAGATCCAAAGTTCTCCAAGGTAAAAACTGCAGAAAAATTAACATTTTTAATATCACGTACTCATCTCTGTACCATTGATGTTTCTCTTTGAAACTCCTTAAACAAGGTGAGAAATTTGGGGTGTTTGCAGCTGTACTGGTATATTTGTTGTACATTAATGTGCATAATTTACAGCCCTTTTGATGGATTGCTTGTCATTTGTTGTTAAATTCAGGGAAGTTTTTTAAAAAATAATTTCTTTACTCTGGCACCTCTGAAGGTGAACAGGCAGATTTGCTTGCCATTTTCAGGATTGTTTAGCAGGTCCATGAGATGTCTGTTGCTGTAGTTGGTTTCAGTCACTGTGTTTGTGCTGGTTGTGCACTGGGCAGTCTCAGGGAGGAGCTTGGCAGGTGCTGTTACAGGTGCTTGGTGAGCCCCTCGGAGGATTTACAGCTGTTCCTAGGCCCAGATGTTTGAGATTGTCCTAAACAATGTTTGGTCCATTTCCTGGGCTGTCAGGGAGCAGAAAGATCTGCCCAGCTGCAGTGGATTTGGTCGGCCAAAGATGGGTTTTGTTGTGTCTGTGCAGGCCATCCTCCTGTCGCCCAAGTTCCACTGTGCAGAGGAGATCCTGACCATCGTGGCGCTGTTATCAGTGGACAGTGTCCTCCACAACCCCCCTGCCCAGCGGGATGAGGTGCAGGCTGTCAGGAAGAAATTCATCTCCAGTGAGGGGGATCATCTGACCCTGCTCAACGTGTACAGGGCCTACAAGAACGTCAACGGGCACAAGGTGGGGTGATCTGAGCTGCCAGTGCTGTCTGAGCTCATGGGGTGAGGAGATTTTAGCAGAGAGCAGAGTGACACCTGCATCTTCTTTGGCTGGTGCCACAGGCATCCTCCAGAGCTGAGAGAAAAGAGGGCCCATGCTTTACAACTGTGGGATTGGAGGAAGTTCTGTAACAAAGGTTTGTACAGATAGCTCTGGCAAAGCTTTGTGGGGCCAGTTCTGTAATCACAGCCAAGGCTTTTCCTTCCCTGGGTCCAGCTGGAAACAGAAGGGACTGGGAGAGTGTTGAGACTTGATAAATATCTGGACATGCTCTGTGACAGGATTCATTGGAAAACCATTGAGCATATTTAAAAGCAGATCTGGATTTATCCTACCCCTCATATTGATTTGTAGACCTGTGGACTCATGCACCCCATTCCTTGAAGCACCTGTCATTCTTACCTGATTTGTTTTCACCCCCTGCAGGATATCAAGTGCTGTTCTGAAGCTCGTGGTGGCCTTGCAGGGCAGCTCTGAGTGGGAAAAGAACCACCACCTGCTGTTTCTGAGCAGTGTGGGAGAGAATCTAGACATAGTGGAGTAAAGGGGGGTAGAAATATGACCAGGGAAGGGGTCAGCATGTTTTCTCTGAGGCAGATTGTAGGGGGGATTCTGCCTTTCGTAGTATCCAAAGGTTGTCATGCTCATGGGGTGAAGAAAAATCCCCTTCTAACTCCTCCTATCCTGCTGCAGGGATGGTGCAGAGAGAACTTCATCAATGGCAGGAACATGAAGCTGATGGCAGAAGTCAGAGCTCAGCTCAGGGACATTTGTTTAAAGGTAACTTACCTCCATATTCTATTTCTCTGTTTCACTTGTTGGTATTTTCCTGTTTGTCCCCAAAATGATGTTACTATGCACCAAGTCCCAAGTGAGAAAATGGGGGATTGTTTTCAGTCTCCTGTAAACAGCTGGCTAAAATTCCTGACTGTACAGTAGCATCCCAAAATCTTAAAGCCGCAGGGCTTCGTGGGTCAAGGAGAACTGGGAACCTCTGAGAAGACTTCTCAGGGAAAGGACAAGTTTTCCTAGGGGTTTTTCCTGCTCTAATGCAGGTGGGACTGTGCTGTGTGTGCCACAGTGTTATCAGCCTGTGCTGGCTGGCTTCTCCATGGATCAGGCATTCAGTGTAGCAGCAGCTTCCCCTCAGCGCTGTTCCTGCTGGGCACAGCGTGGGAGCTGCCTCTGAACCCCTGGCAGTGTGTAGTGACAGGGGAGCCACCCTCTGGGGCATCATTTGTGAATGCTGGCTGGCCTTAAACTCCCTTCCAGAAGGAGAGTGACAATCCTTTCTGTTGGCTCTTAGTCTGGCTTAGCCTGGCATCCACTTAAGCTGAATTCCCAGTGGTCCCCCAGCATTCTGACACAGGAAAACCCTCCAGGATTTCTGAAGTGAAATGGTGTCACTGTGAGGGTCAGGACTGGGTAATGAGTGACACAGACTCTAGGTCAGAAGGCTTATAGGCTAGAAGCCCCAGCTTCACTGAAATAGCTTCTTTTATACACTGGTCGATACAGGTGGACCTGATTGGTCATTTAATCAATACATTTCACATGACTGGCTAATTAACAAGACACCCATTTGTAAACAACCTCACAGGCAAAACAGCTTATTACAAAACACCAGGTGCAGATTGTTTAGAATCTTTCTCTCCACCTCCCTAAAGCTTCTCATGGGAGAAGCTGACTCATGGGAAAGCTTATCTAGCTTTCTCTCTCTCTGACCAGAGAGCTGCCACCACAGTATGTGTGCAGGTCGTTCTTGCTCACTCTTGTGTCCCCAGCTGTCGATGCCCCTCGAGTCCTGCCGCGGGGACACGGCCAGCGTGCGGCGCTGCCTGGCCCACAGCCTGTTCATGAACGCGGCCGAGCTGCGGCCGGACGGCTCCTACAGCACGGTGGAGTCTCACCAGGCGGTGGCCATCCACCCCTCCTCGGTGCTGTTCCAGTGCAAGCCTGCCTGCGTGGTGTACAACGCGCTGCTGCGCACCAACCGCTGCTACATGCGCGACCTGTGCCTGGTGGACGCGCAGTGGCTGCACGAGGCCGCGCCCGACTTCTTCCGCAGGAAACTCCGCACGGCCAGCAGCTGAGCCACGTGGGACAGCTAGGCCTTGAAAGACTTACATATTCATTGCATTTTTTAAAAATAACCGTGTTTTTTTATAACCTTAAGGAACGGGATGGGTATTTATTTAGATCGGGTTTATATGTTTTTTGCGGAATAAAGAAGTGATGGTGAAAATGCGAATCCTGCGTGTTGGTTTGTGAGGCACAGAACAAATGGTGGTAGGAGCAGTCCTGGTGTTTATGGGTCTCGTGAGAGTGTGTTCATTGTCAGCAGTCATGGCTTAAAGATGTGAAGGTAGCACAGTGAATCTGTGCTTCTTGTGCAGAATGGGCTCTGCCATTTACATCTGCAGTGCTCAGACTCCTGTTAGAATTAAGAGTTAAAATTCTGGTCCTTTGATGGGGTGGTATCCATTTGATGGAGATGGGACAGATGCTCTCCTTCTCCTGCCTTGCAGTGAGCAGCAAATGAGCCTTCTGTGCTCCTCCTCCACAGTGGGCACTAGTGCCAGCTTTTGGACAAAGGGAAGGCTTGGTGCCAGGAAATGCTGCCTTAGTCACTGTTTCCTCTAAAATACACAAAAACCATTCAGCCATTCATTTTTTCTTTTTCTGAGGAGACCGCCACGCTCTGGCTGGAACATTGGCAGTTCTGATTAGGAGTGGGATGATGTCTGGGATAAAACCTGTTCATGTCTCCCACATTCCTAAAGATCTCTTTGTGAGTTCAGCCGATTAGGGACTTGTACGGGTGCTGTGTCCGTGCCATCCCTGCCCATTCCATTGTCAGGGATCCCAGGAACCAAGACACCCCGTTGGCACACTCCGTTTTGCCGGGATCGGGACTCGAACCCGGGGTCTCACCGGGGCCGGGACTCGAACCCTCGGCCGCGGGGCCCGCGCGGGGCCCGCCGGGGCCGGAAGCGGAGCGCGGTTCCGGGGCGGGCAGTGCTCGCCCTCCGCCCGGTCCCGCACGATGCTCCTCGCCCGCTCCCTG